ACATTAGAAATGCTCATGTCATTAGATATTGCAGTCTTACCAAGCCCTTTGACCTTGCCTTTGCCATTGTCACCAAATGTGATACTATCATAACCATCATTGCCATTGGTGTTGATTGAGTTGAACATTCTTGCATCACCTTTCATGTGTTGAGTGCACCCACTATCAAGAATCCAATGCCTTCCTCCGGCTTTGTAATTGACCTACAAAAGAAGATCAATTCCTTTTAGGTACCCAAACTTGCTTGGGTCCTTGAAGGTTAACAACCAAGCTCTTTGGTACCCAAATGGCTTTCTTCTTTGAGCCCATTCATGGTGTACCAATGAACTTAGCCTTTACACCATTTGCATTCTTGGTAAGCATATAGAAAGAATCAAGTTTAATGGAGGATACATTAGCATTTTTGCTCTTGTTCTTGCACTCATGCTCTTTATGACCAACTTGCTTGCAACTAGTGCAAAACCGACCATTGTTCTTCACAAAACTAGTCTTGTGAGGAGCAAAGGCCGCCTTGCCTTTCTTAGGGGTATAGCCCAATCCCTCTTTGTAGAGAGAAGCTCTTTGGCTACCCAAGCACATAAACAAGCGGTTCTTACCACCATAGGCCTTAGCCAAGGTGTGAGTGAGCTCATTGACCTCCTTCTTGAGGGTCTCATTATCAACCATTAGTGAGGCATCATAAGTAAAACCATCACTACTAGATGAGGTGGAAGTTGAAGTGCTATAAGAAGGGTTAGCAGGAGCAACAATGATAGGCATAGATAATGATTCATCAATTAAAGCCTACATTACATGTCTCAACATGCTTCTTTTATTTTGCTCATCAAGAGACCGAGGGTGGCCTTCACTGTGCACCACTGACCGGACGCAGGACCCAGCGTCCAGTCACTGTGTGACCAGCATTTGGTGCACTCTGTGAAACCCTATCTTTTCTGTATAGGACGGACACTCTGCCGATGAAGTTTCGAACTCTTGCTCAAATGTGCCAACCACCAAGTGTATCACTTTATGCACATATGTTAGCATATTTTGACAAATGTTTTCAAGAGTGTTAGCACGCCACTAGATCCTAAATGCATATGCAATGAGTTAGAACATCTAGTGGCACTTTGATTACCGCATTTCGATACGAGTTTCACCCCTCTTAATAGTACGGCTATCGATCCTAAATGTGATCACACTCACTAATTGTCTTGATCATCAAAATAAAATGGCTCCTACCACTTATACCTTTGCCTTAAGCCTTTTATTTTTCTTTCTTCTTTTCCAAGTCCAAGCATTTTATCATCACCATGCCATCATCATCATCATGTCACGATCTTCATTTGCTTCACCACTTGAAGTAGGGCTACCTATCTCATAATCACTTTGATAAACTAGGTTAGCACTTAGGGTTTCATCAATTCACCAAAACCAAACTAGAGCTTTCACCGGGGCGTCCGCCATAGCGCACTCCTAGGACAGAGGGTGACTAGGTGCCATGCCGCCGATGCTAGAGCCGTCGCTCTCAATCTTGTCATCCACAAGGTCATGGAAAGAGGCGGGAGTGTAGCTCGCCATCCCCACGAATTCGGATGTGAGAGGAGGTGGTGTCAGTATCTTTCGGAGCCCTCAGGCGTATGTGTTCGCAGGGGACTCGAGGCCATAGAGGAACTAGCCGTATGGTGGCTGCGGTGCGAACAATGGGGTCCCTCCGGATAATCGCCAGAACATAGTAAATAGTGAGTAAAGAACAAAATGTACGTTACTCACAGTGGGTCTTAGCCTAGCATGGGCTCGGAGCGAAGCGCAGGCGCCCCGTCGTTGAGGTCGCCGGGTGGCTCGGAGATGACAGAGGGCGTTCCGCCTCTGACAGGTGCCGGGACGAGCACCTCCTCATGAAGGCGAAGCATGCCGAGCCGGTCGGCGACGAAGTCCAGGCTTCCAAAGTGGAAGGGCTGGGATGGCTCGAAGACGGGAGGAACCCGCATCCCAACAGGTGGGAGCACGGGAAACTCTAGCGAGCCGAAGTGAGTCATATCGCTTGAGCCCGCCACGCCGAAGATGGTGGAAAGGTGGACCATCCGATGACCAAAAAGCGCGAATGTATGACGTCCTCCCCACGGACGGCGCCAACTATCGGTGCAGAAAGTGACCAACAAGTAAATATTTGTAGTTTTGTCGTACATTGTGATCGGATGTGGTCTAGCACTCAATGACACAGGGTTTATAATGGTTCAGGCTTACGTCCAGTTTGAGTCGGTCGGTGACTTTATTCCTGAGCATAGGTGTTCGAAGTTTGCTGTGGGGTTACAAATGAGAGGGAGTAAGATGGGGGTGCAAGAGGTCTGATCAGACTCTGGTCTGAAGGGCCGAGAGTGACAGGAGTTCCTACGTGCGCTGAGTGTTCGAGCGAGTGCTCTGTGTAGCTTTAGAGTGTCTAAAGCTAGCAGGGGGTGAATCTGAGTGATCCGTCTGACTCATCCTTGTTGGGAGAGAGTGCATCCCATTTTATAGATGAAGGGGACGACCTTACAAGTGAGAGAGAGAGGGAGAGTGCGTATGCATGCTACTAAGTCTTGTTGCCCATACCGTCGAGTACAAGATAATTGTAGGCGCCCACAATACTGTTTAATGTCAGACGCATGTGGGAGCTTTTACCATGTTGCACCAGGTATGGTAAATGCCGACATCCACAACACTGTGGATGCCTAGGTGCATGTGGGGGGCCTTATCGTGCTAGCCTGGTATGGGAATTGATGACGCCCACAACACTGTAGGGCAAATGTTGGCGCCGTCAACACTATTTGGGTTCTGACATGTCTGGAAGGTTGCAAGGCACTCTTCTGACATGTCTGTCATCTTATTACTGCAGGTGTGTGCGAGTACGGTCTTGATATTACGGTTGTCTTGAGTGCCTGCCTTACTTGCTCTGCTTTCGTTTCCTAGGTCCTTACCGAGCGGGCGTCCCGGTCCGGTTGGTCCCGATCGGCTCCATTGTTCCAATCAAGACAGTATGGTGAGGTTTAGTGCATCCCGGTCGGAGAGCGGGTCGGAGTTAAAGTAGCGCTGGCCAGGCCTTTCGGTCGAAGAAGTTGGTGGTCGAGGCGAGCATCGTTCCTCTTCGGCCGAGCCTTTCGATCGGAGAGGCGGGTAGAGTCGGAAGTGGCGTTGTTCCTTCTTAGCCAGCCTTACGGATCGAGACTGGATCGCCCTTACGGCCTGTCGTTAGGTATTTGGGCGCCCGGGGAGTTGTCGTCGTTTAAGCGTCGTCTGCCGGGCCAAGCTTCACGCCGAGGAGCAGGTCCATTAGGGACCCCGGTTTATGAACCCGACATAATGTATATCTATATCCATGAATGATGTGAACAATATTTTTGTCTCGAAGATATTTACATGTGTGTAATTTAGATGCAAATAAAGGGATTACTTTGAGCTATTTTATTTATAACGACAAGTACAAGTAGTTTTTTTGAAAACAGAACAGAATTAATGGCTATCATTATCACTGATGATTACTAGATTATATGAAATTGATGTCAAGATGTTCCTGATTTTCTGTGATAATTTCTTTGATTTATTTTTCCCTAGGATGTCTGGTAAGGATTAAATTTGAGCCTCCGTTGGGGTCGTCAAATTTGTAACATAAAGTGTGGTAATGGCTATCATTACCACACTTTCTGTTGGGCTTGGAATCTTCACCTTCAATATATGTGCAATTATGACATCACCCTCTAGTCTTCTCTGAGATTCAACCAGTCACATAGTTTTGAGGCGTGCAGCCAGTGTCTTTTGGGCTCTTTGCCCCTCTCTGTATATATGACTCTTTCTTTTTAATTGAAAGGGCCACTTGCGTTTAAAAAAGAGAGAGATTCAACCAGTCACCTGACAGAATTTGATTGTTTTCTCATGTGCATGGATCTCAGAGAATATTTGATGTTCATAGTAATATGTAGGTTCATAGTAATATGTATGCACATAGTTTTGAGGTTTATTAATTATTTCTCTGTTTGCTATGTGTACTAATGTACCAATTTTCCGTGGCAGCGATTTGGTTAATGCCAGAGTTGTAACTACAGAGTACATATCCCACATGATGTAGCCAAACTCTTGGGGCTGTTTGGCTGATACGTTTTACAGCTAATTTCGGCTGATTCAGTAGTGTTCTGTAAGAGAGAATAAGCTAAGTACGGCTGATATTTAGGGGCAACCTTAACGTTTGGAAGATACAATGGTTCAAAGATAATGCCACGTCAGAGTATCTAACTTAGGAAATCGGTCTGTTCGGCTGGTATTAAAGTCGGCTAATAAGCCGATTGAAGCTGTTTTGTTGTGAGAGAAAAATACTGTAGATTCTAACTGATAAGCCGGCTGATAAGTTCAAACGAACAGATCCTAATGTATAGGAAACCATCAAGTATAAACAAGTAAACAATCTTTCCACTGTATCCGTCTCTTGCGGTCTTGCCCAGCACTCTGGCAGGTGGTGCCGGTCTTCTTTGGTTTTCTCTAGAAGAAAATGATTTTTCATGTTAGGAACCTGTTGCCAACTCAAGCTTCGGTGCCAAAATTTTCATGTCTAGCACAGGTACTGCATTGTATTGCACCTCTGCTGCTTTTCTTTCTCCCTCCGCGTACCACCTTAGTAACAAGGTTGAGCTGCCGTAAGGTATACTCCATCTGTGAAATATGTTGGTCAAACTTTTTTTAAGTTCGACTATGCCTTAGAAAATATTAACAATATTTGTATCGTTAAGTGAGTTTATTATAAAAGTATATTTAGTCAAAATTAAAAATATTTGGGAGAGTAACAATTTTTATGGGACGGAGGGGAGGGAGTATATAAGGAGAATATATGACAAACAATGATTATTCTGATGCAACACTGGGTAATTAATGTTTTGCAACAGCTGTGGTAAAGACAAACATGCATGGTCTAAATTCTAGGTTTACCCGTTATCACTCAGTGAATAGTAGTAGCAGGAACTAACTAAATTCATGTACTGGCACAGGAATTCACCATGGGAGATACGCCTGACCAGGAGATGTTGGACGTGAAGTCGGCCGGTGACGGTGAGCTGCAGGTCGGGCCGGGGGTTCCAGCAAGTAGATGTAGCCCAGCGATTGGCAACCTGGGAATCTGTGATGCTGCAGCAAATCAGGAAGCACCAGTGAAGGTAACATTTCGAGGGATTAGCGACCACAGTACATGTTGTGCGCCAAACATTAAAGGCATTTAATTCATTGTTATGTTTCCTTCTTTTACTGGTTGTTGCGAAACGAACCGCTGATCTCATTCGTAGACAGGAACCGAACGGACACATCCCTTGGACACACCGGTTCGACGCACACCTCACACACTCACGTAATGTACACACACAAACCTACAACTACACACAGTGGTGGATTCAGTAATCAAAACCCCACAGGTTGAACGTGCATCCGCCACTGACTACACATAGATACCGAACATAGCTAAAAGGTACCGGAAGATCACAAGACTCCGAGCGTGGCCGACATGTCATTTAACCAATGTGGCATATTAGTATATAGGGGTTGTTTGGTTGCCCGGCAGTGCACTTGCGGCATCGCCGCAGTTGGGGCGGAAAAAAATGGCCGCCACAAAGTGTGGCGAGATTCCATCCGATTTGCACTACGGTTTTCCGTGACTGCCTACGCGTATCCACCAACCAAACAGTCACTTCGATATCTGTGGCTGACAGACTGTGGCGTAGCGTGCTGTGGCCGGAAACCAAGCACCCTCGTATATGTGCGATTGTGGCTATATATAGGAGATGGGTAAAGACCCTGGTGAACGCCGGTGGTTGACGCACCACTGAGCGAGCCCTCGTTCGCAAACAGAGATGAATGAAACTACTGATTACATTCCTATTTGTCTGAGTATCTTGCTTTACGATCAAAGCACTCTATTCTAAACACTAGTAACTAATAAATCACAACTGCAGGACGTCGAAATGGCGGAGGATCAACCTCCAGCTGGACTGTCGTACACCATTGACGATCAAAGGTCGTCGTTCACTGAATTCATAAAGGATCTACGTGTCATCCTCGCTGATCACCAAGACCGTGAGGATATCTGTGATCGCCACGTGGACCCAAATATCTCGAGTAGCCGAAAACACCCACTGCTCCCGAAGCCGCGTGCTGAACAACCGGTGAGGTGGATTCGCATCAAGCTACAGCTGCAAGTGGTGGAGGGCGAGGAATCGTCGTCATCGGCTACCCTACTCATGAGGGATGACAACGTGGATGTGATCGGCTTCATCAACCAGTCTGGAGTCTGTTACGATTTTGCCGACCCAAAGAGAAGCGCCCGTCGGATCCTCCCACAAGAATACAAGCCAGTACTTCTAGGCTGGGGCAACAGCTACAAAAGCATACTACACTACAGGAAAACGCCTCTTTGCCCGCATTGCTTGCCCCGGTCGGCAAAGGCATAAACCCAGTCGGCAAAGGCTTTGCCGACCGCAAAGCTCACGTGGCGGTCGGCAAAAGCGGTCGGCAAAGCACCGGGTCGGCAAAAGCGGTTTTGCCGATCGCCACGTGGCTGATCAGCAAAGCCTTTGCCAATCGCCACGCCAGCCGATCGGCATAGCCACGTGGCGCGCGTCGATACTGACGGCGGGCTTTTGCCGGCTCTTTGGTTGGTTCCTGATCGGCAAAGAATTTTTTTTTCAAAAATTGTTTTGCCGATCGGCCGCCAACTTCAGCGATCGGCAAAGAAAGAAAATATTTTTTTGAAATGTTTTGCCGATTGCTTGAGTTGCGATCGGCAAAGGTTTGACCTTTTGCCGAAGCGCCTCCCATCTGCGATCGGCAAAGACTCATTCTGGGTTTTTTTGACTTGCCCGATTATAAGCAATCGACAAAATTTGGAAAGTTTTTTTTTTTTTGCTTTTGTTTTCTGTTTTCTCGCATCAAAACCCCGCAAAATCACAAATTATAATCCAATTTCACCGAAGCACCGGTAGCACCATTTATATCACAATTTCATCACATTTTGTCGCCAACATCACCACATATATCACAATAACGCACAACATCACATATATCTCACATATATGTCACAATAACAACCACACAAGTGCATTACAACCATCACATGAAGTCCAACACGTCGAACACCACAAGTCGGCGTCCATCACACCTAAGTTCAACATAACAAGTCTAGGTCCATAACGAAGAAAAGAAATACATGACAACAACTTCGACGATACGGTGGATACATGATAACAAAATCGACAAATACCTAGCTCGTCGCGCCGTCCCGGTCTCGTCGTCGCTCCGCCCCAGAGCCCCCTGGGTTTGCCCACGGAAACCCCTTGTACCAAAGCTGAGGCGCTGCAGCGTCGCCCCACCCTCGCGCCATGCCGTGACCAGCAATCGTCGGAGGAGGCCCCTGTGGAGGTGGATACGGTGGATAAGGTGCGAGGTGGTGGATACGACATCATCGATGGCGGGACCTCGAGGAGACGGGTTCGAACTCCGCCATTGTATACACGCAAGTTAAACGCCAAGTGATGTCATTAGTATCTGCAGCATGGGACGCACAAGTTAAAGCAAGAGTCAATATACTCACGGGGTCCCTCCGGGAGCGCGGGGAGCGAGCACGAGGAAAAAACTCGGAGGAGGAGGCGGTGGGGCGAACATTGGAAGAAGAGGCGGTGTAGGCGCCCAGGCGTCTGCATGGACTGGGAAGAAAGCGGCCATGTTACGCATCCGAGTGTTGTAGTGCTTTGCTGCAGAGCTTTCTTTGGTAAGCCATCTATTGCGCCATCATCTGCTGGCGTGCAGCGTGACGATCCTCTCCTCCATCTTGGCCTCCATCTGGGCCTGCAATATTACATCCGCGGTGTTGATTGTATGTACAAAGTGAAACGAGTGAACGCACGAATGAAAGCGGCACCACTGTGACGCCGACCGCCACCGGGCGCGCTGGGGATGTCGCCGGAGCTCGTGGGCGTGGATCGAACTGGGTCGGCGAGGAACTGGGGACGGGTCGAGGGTATTGTGGGCCATGTAGTAGCGGCCGTCTTTGCTTCCTGGTCCCAACCTCTCGCAGGAGGTCTGTGTCGAGGGCTCGGCGGTGGGGTCGAACGTCTCCCCGAGCGTATTTGGCGAGCCGCGACGGTGTACTCGGTGGCCTTCTCGTGGCGGTGGGGTTGGTGTACGCGATCGGGCCCGTCCTCCGGGTTGTAAGCGTTGTTCGGATCCGTCGCCTTGCCCTTGTGAGAGAGGAGGTGCAGCGGTGTACTCGTTGATTTCACCGCCCACCGTGCGTCTGCGCTCGCATTGAAAACACAAACATGGTTACAAATATTGACAATTGAGCGCAAGGATTAAGACATGAGCGGACGCATACCCATCTCTGTCGCTGAATCGGGAGGGGCTGATTCCCTTGGTGGTGTGACACCCTGACGCATCTGCTTGGCTTGGCGGCCACGGACGGTCGGCGCACCTCGCGTCGCCTCATCCATCGCCACATGCGCACAATCTCCATCCGGCATTCCCACGTGGTTGTCGCACCACGACGGACGGACACACGCATGACATCAAGTATTTGACATGCGAGAAGATTAGTGTAATGTTTCACTTTGAAGGAATCGAGCGAATGTTGTCATACTTTAATTACCTTTCGTATTGCGCTTGGGTGAGGTCGGCCTCCCTCGAGTTCATTCTCTGGCGGTTGGGGCTTCTTGATGTTCTCTCCAAGCACGTTGGCGTGGAAGTCACGGATGGCTTTGTATCGCGCGCCTCATGGTGCAGTCCTTGAGGCGATCTTTGCAGACCGCCTCGCACTTTCGCGCGCCGCTGGGCCGCTTTACCCCTCCTCGCAGACGTGAAGAAGTCACGCGCATACGACACATCATGTAGCATTTCCTTTTTGCAAGAAGTCCGACGAATGCGTACTATTTAGCAATGCGGTGCGATGAAAGACTCACCCAAAACTCCCTCTTTATCTTTGCGCGATGGTCTCGCCACCCTCCTCGACGAGGTAGAAGTGGGACCACTTGGTGGGCACCTTCATCTCGCCGTTGGCGTTGACAAGGCGGTGGTAGTACTCCTTAATCGGGAGGCCACGGATGCCATTGATATGGCGTGCTTGACTGCTCCACTCACAATCTTCCGAGGCGCACGAGTCATTAAGAACAATTGTTAGTCTTCGATTCGATTTTTGACATGTCATATGAACAAGTAGTGAAATCAATAATGGTTACTTACGTCTCGCCCACGGGTGTGATCACCGGTATTTGGTGGAATGCGCGCCGCACCCTAGGAAGCTGCGTGGGCCAGTGAGTACACCTTGGCCACGCTCGACGAAGTCGGGCCGTCTCGCTTTGGTGTAGGCGGCGTCATCGCCGTCGTCGTCGTCGTTGTCGTTGTCGTCGTCGCCGCCGCCGCTTCGTAAATCACGCTGACGTCGTCCCCCCTGCGAGGACGAGAAAGAATGACCTCTGGTCGCTCGCTGGCGACGTCTTTGGGGTGGGACCCCCTACTGGACGACCCGCGCACCAACACCTCCTCCTCCTCCTCGTTGTCGTCGGCGGTCTCCTCTTCATGGCATTTGAAGGTTGAATGCCTTTAACATCTTCCAAGTTCTCATTCTTTTCTTGTGAGCCCTTGGTTTCATCAAATTCAACATCATGAACTTCCTCAAGAGTACCACTATCTAAATTCCAAACTCTATATGCTTTGCTTGTGGTTGAGTATCCAAGTAGGAATCCTTCATCACATTTCTTGTCAAACTTACCTAATCTAGTGCCTTTCTTCAAGATATAGCATTTGCAACCAAAGATCCGAAAATATGCAATGTTGGGCTTTCTACCGTTCAAGAGCTCATATGGTGTCTTCTCTTTCAATGGGTGACAATAGAGGCGGCTGCCACAACAATAGCAAGCCATGTTGATAGCTTCGGCCCAAAAAGATTGATTCACATGTACTCACTAAGCATAGACCTTGCCATATCAATGAGTGTTCTATTCTTCCTCTCAACAAGGCCATTTGATTGTGGAGTGTACTTGACCGAGAATTGATGTCTAATTCCAAATTCATCACACAATTCATCAATTCTAGTGTTCTTGAACTCACCTTTGAAGATTAAGTTAGAGCCATCTACACTTATGATCTCTACATCATCTACCCCAAATTTGTATTTGAATCCAAGATCACACAATTGAGCCACGGATAGCAAATTGAAGTTCAAGCTCTCTACTAGCAACACATTAGAAATGCTCATGTCATTAGATATTGCAGTCTTACCAAGCCCTTTGACCTTGCCTTTGCCATTGTCACCAAATGTGATACTATCATAACCATCATTGCCATTGGTGTTGATTGAGTTGAACATTCTTGCATCACCTTTCATGTGTTGAGTGCACCCACTATCAAGAATCCAATGCCTTCCTCCAGCTTTGTAATTGACCTACAAAAGAAGATCAATTCCTTTTAGGTACCCAAACTTGCTTGGGTCCTTGAAGGTTAGCAACCAAGCTCTTTGGTACCCAAATGGCTTTCTTCTTTGAGCCCATTCATGGTGTACCAATGAACTTAGCCTTTACACCATTTGCATCCTTGGTAAGCATATAGAAAGAATCAAGTTTAATGGAGGATACATTAGCATTTTTGCTCTTGTTCTTGCACTCATGCTCTTTATGACCAACTTGCTTGCAACTAGTGCAAAACCGACCATTGTTCTTCACAAAACTAGTCTTGTGAGGAGCAAAGGCCGCATTTGCCTTTCTTAGGGGTATAGCCCAATCCCTCTTTGTAGAGAGAAGCTCTTTGGCTACCCAAGCACATAAACAAGCGGTTCTTACCACCATAGGCCTTAGCCAAGGTGTGAGTGAGCTCATTGACCTCCTTCTTGAGGGTCTCATTATCAACCATTAGTGAGGCATCATAAGTAAAACCATCACTACTAGATGAGGTGGAAGTTGAAGTGCTATAAGAAGGGTTAGCAGGAGCAACAATGATAGGCATAGATAATGATTCATCAATTAAAGCCTACATTACATGTCTCAACATGCTTCTTTTATTTTGCTCATCAAGAGACCGAGGGTGGCCTTCACTGTGCACCACTGACCGGACGCAGGACCCAGCGTCCAGTCACTGTGTGACCAGCATTTGGTGCACTCTGTGAAACCCTATCTTTTCTGTATAGGACGGACACTCTGTGGAGATGAAGTTTGAACTCTTGCTCAAATGTGCCAACCACCAAGTGTATCACTTTATGCACATATGTTAGCATATTTTGACAAATGTTTTCAAGAGTGTTAGCACGCCACTAGATCCTAAATGCATATGCAATGAGTTAGAACATCTAGTGGCACTTTGATTACCGCATTTCGATACGAGTTTCACCCCTCTTAATAGTACGGCTATCGATCCTAAATGTGATCACACTCACTAATTGTCTTGATCATCAAAATAAAATGGCTCCTACCACTTATACCTTTGCCTTAAGCCTTTTATTTTTCTTTCTTCTTTTCCAAGTCCAAGCATTTTATCATCACCATGCCATCATCATCATCATGTCACGATCTTCATTTGCTTCACCACTTGAAGTAGGGCTACCTATCTCATAATCACTTTGATAAACTAGGTTAGCACTTAGGGTTTCATCAATTCACCAAAACCAAACTAGAGCTTTCACCGGGGCGTCCGCCATAGCGCACTCCTAGGACAGAGGGTGACTAGGTGCCATGCCTCCGATGCTAGAGCCGTCGCTCTCAATCTTGTCATCCACAAGGTCATGGAAAGAGGCGGGAGTGTAGCTCGCCATCCCCTGGTCGGATGTGAGAGGAGGTGGTGTCAAGATCTTCGGAGCCCTCAAAGTATGTGTTCATGAGGGACTCGAGGCCATAGAGGAACTAGCCGTATGGTGGCTGCGGTGCGAACAATGGGGTCCCTCCGGATAATCGCCAGAACATAGTAAATAGTGAGTAAAGAACAAAATGTACGTTACTCACAGTGGGTCTTAGCCTAGCATGGGCTCGGAGCGAAGCGCAGGCGCCCCGTCGTTGAGGTCGCCGGGTGGCTCGGAGATGACAGAGGGCGTTCCGCCTCTGACAGGTGCCGGGACGAGCACCTCCTCATGAAGGCGAAGCATGCCGAGCCGGTCGGCGACGAAGTCCAGGCTTCCAAAGTGGAAGGGCTGGGATGGCTCGAAGACGGGAGGAACCCGCATCCCAACAGGTGGGAGCACGGGAAACTCTAGCGAGCCGAAGTGAGTCATATCGCTTGAGCCCGCCACGCCGAAGATGGTGGAAAGGTGGACCATCCGATGACCAAAAAGCGCGAATGTATGACGTCCTCCCCACGGACGGCGCCAACTATCGGTGCAGAAAGTGACCAACAAGTAAATATTTGTAGTTTTGTCGTACATTGTGATCGGATGTGGTCTAGCACTCAATGACACAGGGTTTATAATGGTTCAGGCTTACGTCCAGTTTGAGTCGGTCGGTGACTTTATTCCTGAGCATAGGTGTTCGAAGTTTGCTGTGGGGTTACAAATGAGAGGG